AAATGCAGAAGAACTTAACTTCTTCCCTCCGTTTCCTTTTCATGATGAAGAAAACAAAAAAACGAGCAGAAACTCTGTGAGAAATCAAACACACAATGTTAGATGGTCTTACGAAATAAAATATATCAACTTCGATGAAGATTATAATCCTGACCCAAAGTCTATTCTGCATGCTACCCATTTCCCGTTTCCCCTTAACCTAGCAAGATTCTCCGACAAATCAGCAACACTGCCAAACAACAGCTGCGACATTTGTTATAAGTAAGCTAAAAGGGGTTGTTCAGTCGGTAGAGCGCCCGGGTCAAAGTCCCAGTCAAGGTCACTCGCTTTTTTTTCCTTCCGAAGTTAAAATACAAGTACCACTCTGGGGAATAAAAAAAACAGGACAATACGCACCATGCTTTTCACAACTGCTGTAAGTTCTGTCGTTAAAATAAGCCATTACTTGCTGATAAAATGTTAAGAGGTCAGCGGCCCACCATAAGCTCCATAAAATAAAGGGTGCAATAAATGGAACAATGGAAAGACGAAAGGACAGACAAATGAAAGAGTAAGGAATGTCGACAAAGGCGATTCTCGTTCAGAATCAAAGTAGACAATTTTAACAAAACTTTTTCGGTATCGGCTTTAATATTATTTGTTTGAGTCACGTCGGCAAAGGTATCTTATACCCAGTTTAAACCGCATGCTTGTCTTTATGAGTCAGCAACAATGAATCAGCATGCAGAGTCGAAGATCACGTACAATAGTGTATAGTGCATGTTTCTCAGCCACTATTAATAACAGCGAAAAACTGCAACTATACTTAAAACGGCCAAATAATATGAAAGTGACAGCTGAGGGCCGACGGAACTCTCCATGCACTTGAAACAAATCTATCTGAAACAGATACCTTGTCAGATTCCTTATGACGAATGGTGCTTCAAACCATCTGCCATTTCTCTGGACCTGACGGACATTAAGCAATGCCTGCTAGAATGCAGCAGCACCAAGAGATAAGGAGGATAACAATGCTGAGGACGATAAGGATTAAAACTTTAAAGATGAGGATGATTAAAGTGAGAATGAGGATGACAAGGAAGATTATGATGACGATGATAATACACACACCCGCAACAGAAATCATCGGTATAAACTTGTTTTCTACTTGAATCAAGATATCTGCAGCTGCCGAAAAAAGTTTTTCGTGATTTAGAAAAAGAAAAACTGCAACCACTGGGGTATCGATCCCCTTATGTTAGTACCCCCCATGACGGGTACTATTTCTGGCATCATTCATTTGAGGGAGCTTACTGTTGGGCGCTGATCGCCTTCTTAATGGCATCAGTGAGGAGTGCCTTCGTTCAAAGACAATTATAACGCGCTCCATGTGTTCTTTTCCTCAAAGGAATATTCCTTCAAAGGAATATACTTCGGAAGAATAAAAGGCATGTGACCTAACAGAAACCGAACTAGGAGCCTCTCGACCTTAAACAAGATGCTCTCTCGAACAAACCCCATTGTCAACTGTTCAACAGGGTCTTTCCTGGCGTGCTCAGAACCGAGAAGACTTCCTTTTGGAGGTACCGTATAAAAGTGACCTTCAAAACGTGCTTACCTTCAAAAGGTTCCATCAAAGGCTAATCCGAACTTCGGAACCGGATCCTATAAAATTTTTATTTCATTGGTTTCTCTATGCCAGAAAATATATGACAAAAAAATACTCAAAACTCGACGAAGAAAGCATGCATGAAGTTTTCCTTAAATATGACATTTTCTGGGTTCCTGTTATATATAATCCTACCGCCATCAGTAACTGCGTGAGTGAATTTCGGCAGAAGATAGATTAGCCTCATCTTCCTCAGATAATCAGGCATCTGAAAAACTTTCGTAGGGGAAGACATAGACTATAACAACAAAGACACCATACGTGGCTTTGGAAATCCTTCAAAAACTGCACAAATTTCTTTGCTTTTAAAGTACGAATTAATTTGATAGAAATGACAATGAGCACACTTTCACGATTTCGGCCGGTCTTCTGGAGCACTCTGTCAAGTTCAGATTTTGATGACCGAATATTAGGAATTCGCGGTTGTTTGCATAAGATTAACTCCTTCAACTTTGTACTGTCTCACGATTTTCAACCTCAAGCTTTATCTTCTGTTAGTCAGCCAATGTTTATAACCGCTTATCCTGTCAGGTCGCGGAGACAGCAGCGCCATACAGTGTCTGCAAGGC